GATACGTCAAAAGATCACAAATCGTATCTAGTCGAAGACATTATCCTTAAACATTGAAAAAAATTCCCTCGTTCCCCGTAAATGGGGGAAACCTCCAAAAAAATTACAAATTTAAAAATCGCTAATTTTCAAAATTTTTTCAATTTTTTTTACTTAAAAGTGCCATATTTTTTTCAAAAATGAACGTATCAATATAATTATTTTTTATATAAATGCAAAATATCATTACCTTTCATTTGGTATATTTTTTTCATAAATTTAACCCTTAACCTGCCCACAAGGGGGGATTTAAAATGACAACTTTTTCACAAAAAATTAATTTTTTTAACTTAAATTTTGAAAATGTTCCGGAAGGTCTGACACTTTTATATATATCTTAAATTAAAGCTAATGTAATATACTTTATCATGAAAAAAAAAAATTTCGGACTTTATCTTATCTTCATGGTGAAAATGGCTACCGAATGCTATTTTTGTGTGAAAATTTTCGATTTTGTATTTTCCATTTTTAACTTTATTATGCTATAACTTTTTGAAAAATGTATGAATCATTACAATTTTTTTATGAGAAGTAGTATTTATATAGATCTTTCATTCGACATACTGTTTTTTTAAATCGGACCATTTCCCTAAATACAGGGGGGATTCAAAACATAAAAATGCATATAGAAAGTAGAACTTTTTCAACGTAACTTTTGAAAGTGTTCCGGAAGGTCTGACACTTTTATATATATCTTAAATTAAAGCTAATGTAATATACTTTATAATGGTAAAAAAAAATTTCGGACTTTATTTTATCTTCATGGTGAAAACAGACATTAAACTTAATAAAAAAAATACGATTTTTGTAAAAAAATTCTTTTTTATATTTTTAACTTTATAATGCTATAACTTCTCGAAAGATGTATGGATCAATATAATTCTTTTTTTTGTAGATGCATGATGTCTTTACCTATCATTTGGTATATTTTTTTTATAAATCTGACTTTTTACCTGCCTACAGGGGGGGATTCAAAATGACAACTTTTTCACAAAAAATTGACTTTTTCAACTTAAATTTTGAAAGTGTTCCGGAAAGTCTGACACTTTTATATATATCTTAAATTAAAGCTAATGTAATATACTTTATCATGGAAAAAAAAAATTTCGGACTTTATTTTATCTTCAAGGTGAAAATGGCTACCAAATGCTATTATTGTGTGAAAATTCTCAATTTTATTTTTTACATTTTTAACATTATAATGCTATAACTTATTGAAAAGTGTATTGATCAATATAATTTTTTTATGGGAAATACTATTTTCTAATAATCTCTTTTTTATTCTACATACTTTGTCTTAATCAGGATATTAATAAGGAACTAGCAGTTTATGAAGCTTTTGGAATAATCCACCAATTTTTTAAAATTAAACACTATCTAAAGATTTGCATCGAAGCGTTTTTTTTTGATAGTGATTTTAATCACTGTCAGATATCATTATACTTGATCCATCTATACCACGTCACCACTGTGCCGCGACCGCCCTGTGCTGGGTTTTTTTTAATTGGATAAAATATAGAGGATTCAGTAATATTATAACTGTTAACTTAAAATATACTTAAATTTATTTATTTAATAAAATTTATTAACTGGCTAATTTATACCCCAATAATGCTGTGAATTTCCTTCCAAATTTTTGATAGGGGTAAATGTTTTTTACAAATATTCTCTTTTTTAGTACCTAGGCGGAAGAATGCAGACTAAAAATAAAAATAACACCATTTAAGCTTCTCCGCTAATCTTTATTTTAAATGCTAATAACTTTCAATGTAATGGTTAAAATTTTGTAATCGAACAATGATTTTCTTATTTAGTACATTTTCTACTTTATAAGATAGATTAATACATATATTTCCAATTAAAAAATAAAGTTGACACCCCTATAAAATATAAGAGATGGATCTATAAATCATTTTACAATAGTTATTAGATATATATGTAACTAACAAAATGCAAACATTAATTTTCAAAAAACATTATCTTAATGGAAATCTAGTAACTATGGTTAAAATAATCACACAGTATATTTTGTAATTATGTACGGAACAACATATTATTATGAAAATAATATTTATATCTTATAAAATACAAATTATGTATTTCCAAATTTAAGAAAACTTATAATCTTATGACTAAACATATTAAATTTCAGATAACCTAAATGATACAATAAAAGGTAATTCGAAATTTATTTGTATATAACCGAGCTATTATTTTACTAACTATTATTCACATTCTAATAGAAATTTAAGTTAAATTTTGTTTTTATATTTCAAATTATTGATACCACTCATTAAACTATAATATCTTAATTAAAATNAATGATACAATAAAAGGTAATTCGAAATTTATTTGTATATAACCGAAATATTATTTTACTAACTATTATTCACATTCTAATAGAAATTTAAGTTAAATTTTGTTTTTATATTTCAAATTATTGATACTACTCATTAAACTATAATATTTTAATAAAAATTATTCATCATATTTAATGTCAATATTAATTAAAGTAAAATAAAATAGACAAATATATTAAATATGTTTTATTATAATAGTTAAATTAATCAACTGTTTAATTTATAGAGGATGCTGCAGAAATATCTACTGGTAACTGAAAACATATTTATATGTATTTATTTAATCAAATGCATTAACAGGCTAATATGTAGCCTTATAGAACTGTGAATTTCATACACTAAAAAACATGATATAAGCCTGAAAATGAACATTAAAACCATATCATTAACACACTTGATAACAAATTTTTGAGAAAGCTATTTTTGGTACCTAGTCAGAAGTCATAATGTGGACGAGATGTATTAGTTCAAAAATTGTTATAGATTAATTATTATATTATTTTAATATATTAATATATTAATCATTTTCTATTTTATAAGTTAGTTTAATACATTTGTTTCTTATAAGCAAATAAAATAACCATGTGTATAATAATAGTGAAATTTATTAACTGTTGAAGTTGGAGTGTGAACGAGAAAGTTTACATCATTTTCTACTTTATAAGCAAATTTAATACATATTTTTCCGTTTAAGGAATAAAATATAAAATAATAATATAATAATATAAGAATTAAATATAAAATAGTCATGTAAGTGATAATAGTGCAATTTATTAAATGTTTAATTTATAGATAATGCAGAAAATACTTCAGAAGGTAATTGAAAATATGCATATATTTATTTATTTAATTACAATAAATTTGATGAATAAATTATTTTGGTGATATCAAAATTTATTTAGATAATAGTAAAATATTTCATTACCGATTTCCGGTTAAAATGTCATAACTTTTATTATTTACAGTCGTAATTAAAATAACTAATTTATTATAACAATAAACAATTATTGTTAAAATAATTATTTGTATCAATGGAATATTTGGTGCAACTTTGACAACCCAAACTATCTATATAATTTTAACATGCAGCGTTTGTATAGATTTGTCATGTCATATTTGCGAACAAGAGACAAACTCAGTTACCTTATCCCCCTGTGGTCACATTATAGGAAACTATTGCGCAAATAAATTCTCAAGAGTTAAACGGATATGTCCTTTTTGTAATAAATATATAGACGGTTTTAAAAACTTAGGTAGGTAACATATTTCATGTGCATTTATATTAACTTTTTAATTTATACTGTTATAAAAAAATTATTAATGGATAATATATTAAAATTATTTATAGTTGATTTGGATGATTGTGAATTTGATAAACGAACCATATACCGATTTCGTGCCCTTACTGAAATAGAGTTTGGTCGTTTAAAGGATAGTATAGAGAATGGTATGACTGACGAAGAATTTATGGCACGTTTTTGGTTTCTTCGACGTTGCCAAGAACCTGATAAACTACTGCTGGAAACCATTAAAGATTTTTTTATGAATAAAAATCATCGTAAGAATATTGCAGAACTTAAGGCTCATCTTTTGTCTTCAAAGTCTTCCATAACTTCAGAACTAGAAATGTATAAAAAAACATTTAAACAAGAGATATCTGAATTTGAAACAACAGCATTGGAATTTTTTTTTGATCGAATAAATTTATATGATAAATACCATGAATTTGACATACGAAAGATGTATTTGAATTGCTCATAACGTAATTATTTATTGATTTATCAAACTAGTTTTTATAAAAAAATACTGTTTATAAACACTATGAATTTTATACCTATTTGCCATACTAATCTTAATATTTAAACAAAATTATTATTGTTTTGGTTTCAAATGAATAACTAAGTCTGTTTTGTGTATACAATTTTATTTAGAGTTTCACTAATTGAAAATGTTTAGTAAGCGAATAAAAAATTCATTAAACAAACAATTTATTTTGATAATGTAACAAGAAAAATTTTTATTGTCTGTGTTTTATAGGGTATAAAGGATAAATTAAAAAGTTTATTTTAATTGATAAATTGAGAAATGTATAAACCTAAAAAGTGTCACAAAGGTTTTTCTTAGCATATTCGCTATTTCAAATGTTATTTTTTAATAACTATTTTTTAATTAGATCATTATTTATTTGATTATGAATATACATAATTTAAAATTCGACTTGTATAGAGTGTTCGGTAAATAAGAAAAAGGGATTCTATTAATTCTCATTGTTCGTTATGATGGATCTGTTTTGTTACTTACTGAACAATCTGTTTATAAAATTAAGTTATACTAAAAATAATTTTCTTAATATTTAATCGGAACATTAAATCAATTACTTGTTACATCAACTTTGTATCTTTTTATATTGTCAGTAAAATTAACAATACTAATTTATTCCATATCAATTTCATACTAAATTTAATCACTCTACCAAGTAATTATTCATGTATTATACTTATATATCATTCAATTAAAATTTCATTTACATAACATTTATTAAAATCACTGACCACATCACTGTAGCCTTCTTTACATACATCATTAAAAATTATAGTAAAAAAATATTTAAAGGAATATGTATATACCACTTCTACAATAAATTTTTACTGATACATACATTCTTCAAAAAATTAAAGTAATATTAAGTCGAAAAAATAAAATATGCAATCGAAAGTTTTAACACAAAATTAGCATGTTTTTAAAATACCGAGCTATTTGCACATCGAATAGATAAGGTGTCAAGACAAATTTTTTAACATATATTTCGTAACATATACTCTAATTTAACATATGTTTAATTCTCGGAGTAATCACGGAATAATTTCAAAACTTTAATTGAAAAAGTTAAATTTTTGTGCAAAAGAAACTCTCTCTGTAAGCATATCCACGATCAAATTTTCAAAAAGTTAATTCCAAACGAATGGGAAATACCTAAAACAAATATTTAAAACAAGACATTTTTGTTTTGTTCAATTTTAAGAAAAAAAGGTAAAAAATTTCGACAATTTCGAAAAACGGCAACGCAACCAGTGAAGATAGCCGCTCACTGGCCGGATGGACTGGCTATGATGGCAGCCCCTCAAATCATATTTTATTTTATGAAATGGCATCAGACGGAGTAAAGGTTAAAACACGAATACCTAAGGCGCCGGCCTAAACCAGCGCCTTAGGTCCTCCTGTACTGGGCGGCACGGCTGCCTCTGTCTCAGGCGTTCAGCTTCCTCCTTCTTTTTCAAGACGGACTCGGCGAACGCCTGGACAAGCCTCCACGCCTCCCGGCTTCCCAACATCAGGATGTCCAGGCTCACCGCAACGCAGAAGCCCGGTCCGTTTTTGGCCCTTACGGCCAGCTGCTGGAACAGGGAGGCCGCGTCGTCCGTCGACCTCCCTTTCCTAAACCCGAACTGGCCGTCCGCCAGCCCACCGACCGTCGCCAGGTGATGCTCTATGCGGGTGGCCAACAGCCGCTCGAGGATCTTCCCCACGTCTTCCAGCATGCAGAGAGGCCGGTACGACGAGGGGACTCCCTCGGGCTTGTCGCTTTTCCGCAAGAGCACCAACCTCGCCCTCTTCCATCGGGGCGGGATTTCACACTCGCAGAGACACACGTTTAATACCCTGTCTAACCACTGCGGTGCGAGCTCGTGGACGAGACCCCACACCCGGTTCGGTATGCTGTCCGGACCGGATGCGGTGTTTCTTCCCGGAACTCTCACTACCGCAGCGGATATCTCCTCTCGGGTGAAATCCTCGACGGTCGTGTTGTCTCCGACGGACAGCCAGTCTCCCAGGGGTGGTAGAGGCGGATGCGTCGGGAACAGCGCGTGGACCGTCTGTTCCAACGTCTCCACCTCCAGTTGCCCTGAAGTCGGTGGGCCGCGCAACTTGCGCATCACAACCTTATAGGATTTCCCCCAAGGGTCGTAATCCACCGACTTCACGAGGTCGGCCCAGCAACGCGCTTTGCTACGCCTGATGGCGAGCTTCAGCCGTTTCCGAGCCTCCCTCAACAACTCTCTGGGATCCGGATTGTCCGGATCGGGTTCTGCCTGCCCACGCCTGTTGGACCGCGTCAGTGCTCTCCTCGCTCTGACCCAGTCGCTTCTCAAGGCAGCCACCTCCGCGTTTCACCAGTGAACGGGAAGTCCCCGGGTAGGTGGCGGACGCTTTCTGTTGAGTGCGAAGTCGCAAACGACTTCGACTCTCCGGTCAAGCTCTTTCGCCACCTCGTCCGCAGAGACCAGTCGATCGGGCGGAGTGGGCGCCGTCCATCGGGCGNTGCTGTCCGGACCGGATGCGGTGTTTCTTCCCGGAACTCTCACTACCGCAGCGGATATCTCCTCTCGGGTGAAATCCTCGACGGTCGTGTTGTCTCCGACGGACAGCCAGTCTCCCAGGGGTGGTAGAGGCGGATGCGTCGGGAACAGCGCGTGGACCGTCTGTTCCAACGTCTCCACCTCCAGTTGCCCTGAAGTCGGTGGGCCGCGCAACTTGCGCATCACGACCTTATAGGATTTCCCCCAAGGGTCGTAATCCACCGACTTCACGAGGTCGGCCCAGCAACGCGCTTTGCTACGCCTGATGGCGAGCTTCAGCCGTTTCCGGGCCTCCCTCAGCAACTCTCTGGGATCCGGATTGTCCGGATCGGATTCTGCCTGCCCACGCCTGTTGGAACGCGTCAGTGCTCTCCTCGCTCTGACGCAGTCGCTTCACAAGGCAGCCACCTCCGCGTTCCACCAGTGAACGGGAAGTCCCCGGGTAGGTGGCGGACGCTTTCTGTTGAGTGCGAAGTCGCAAACGACTTCGACTCTCCGGTCAAGCTCTTTCGCCACCTCGTCCGCAGAAACCAGTCGATCGGGCGGAGTGGGCGCCGTCCATCGGGCAATCAAAAGACCGGCCGCAAATAGATTGGCGTCCGCCTCCGGGCCGACTTTCCAGCCGCTGCGAGTGCCGCGAGGCTGTAGGTCCGGCCTCGTCCGAGGACGCCTGCCGTCGGTGCACTCGAACCTGATGTACCAGTGGTCGCTCATGTTCTCCACGTGGGAGAGAACGGACCAACCGGCAATACGTTCGAGAACCGACGGCGACGCCAGCGTGACGTCCACCACCGAGCTCCAGGTGTTACCCAAGAACGTCGGGGTGGTTCCTCTGTTGGCCGTCGACAGCACTAAGGCAGCCATGACGTCCAACAGTTCTTTGCCACGCCTGTCCGCCGAAGCGGATCCCCATACCGGGGACTTAGCGTTAAAGTCCCCGGCGACGAGTTCGTCCCTGCCACACCGCGGACCCGAGGAACGTCTGCCCCTCAGGCAGTGGGCGACATCATCTAGGAGAGGGCCGATCGGCTGGTTTGTCGACGAGTAGCAGCTCATGACGTCAATGCCGCCAATCCTCGAAGCTACGAAGCCGTCGCCAAACTCGATGTCCGCGACCATGAGGCCGCGGCTCATCATACCGATCGCCGCTCTCCCGAAATATAATGATATCTGACAGTGATTAAAATCACTATAAAAAAAAACGCTTCAGTNCGATCGCCGCTCTCCCGAAATATAATGATATCTGACAGTGATTAAAATCACTATCAAAAAAAAACGCTTCAGTGCAAATCTTTAGATAGTGTTTAATTTTAAAAATAAAATCAAGAATTTTCACACGAAAATAGCATTCGGTAGCCATTTTCATCACGAAGACAAGTCTAGAGGTAAAATTTTTTTTTTTCATAATAAATTACATTACATTACCTTTAATTTAAAATACATATAAAAGTGTCAGACCTTCCGGAACACTTTCAAAAGTTAAGTTGAAAAAGTTATTTTTTCTGAAAATGTCATTTTAAATCCCTCCCTGTGGGAAGGTAAAGGGTTAAATTTATNAAAATTTTTTTTTTTCATAATAAATTACATTACATTACCTTTAATTTAAGACATATATAAAAGTGTCAGACCTTCCGGAACACTTTCAAAAGTTAAGTTGAAAAAGTTATTTTTTCTGAAAATGTCATTTTAAATCCCTCCCTGTGGGAAGGTAAAGGGTTAAATTTATGAAAAAAATATACCAAATAATAGGTACAGACATCAAGCATCTTTAAAAAAAAAAGTTATATTGATATGTTCATTTTTGAAAAAGTTATGGCAGTTTTTAGTAGAAAAAATTTCAAAAATTAGCGATTTTTAAATTTGTAAATGTTTTGAAGGTTTCCCCCATTTACGGGGAACGAGGGAAATTTTTTCAATTTGAGGATAATGTCTTCGACTACATACAATTTGTGATCATTTGTCGTATAGTTGAAAGAAATCTGTTCGGTGAGAGCTGAGAAAAAGTGGTAACAGACACAAAAAAAAAACACATCATAGTAAAACCAATACCTTCTTAGCTTCGCATCGAAGCTAAATTTATTGTTGTTTATCTTCCAGAAAAAAAAACTGTGGGAGGGTTAAATACACATGATTAATAATAAATTTATTACACACAAGTGATTGATTTAGAAAAAAATTTAGTCAGTAAAATTGTTGTTAAAAATTTTATATCAAATCAGTTTTGAAAATCTGTCTAATTTTAGTAAAGAGTGGGGCAAGTTGACGCTTAAGATAAGATGATATTCTTGAATTTAAAAAAATACATAATAATGTTTGCAAACTTATTATGGAAATATTTTAAAATATAATAACAAAAAAAGGTAAATTTTTTGAAAATACTTTAAATGAACATGTATATTTGTTTTAAACCGAACTTGTACATTTTTTACAAGGACGATGTTATATTTTTATTTTATAAATAAATTAAAAAAAATTATATTGCAGTAGCTAAAGAAAAAACATCACGAATAAAATATATTTGAAATCATAATCTTATTCAAATTAGCGAAGTGCTAGTAGTATTTTGATATAATAATAAAATGGGGAAACTTGATTTTTTTCTTTATTTTTA